ATCTCCTAATTAACTCACCTTTTAGGCTTGATTTGTGTTTGAAGAAGTATAAATTGATGTGTGTGTGTGAATACTCAATCTATACTTGCAGCTTTTATTAGTCTGATATACGCTGAACATGAGAAAACCTTCTTGCCTTGTTTTCATCTTCTCACTTCATTGCTTGATGATCTCTTCAACTTGATTCTAATTAACTAAATTACCTAATTTTTTTAGCCTAATCAAATTAGTTAAATAGTAAGTCTTATATTAAAAATCATATACATACATTAAGGTCCTATAATGTATCTACACAAGCTTCTTCTCCTCGCTGACGATCTTTTTGTGGTGTACCTATCACTTGGACCACAGATGAAATAGATCCTTCAAAACGAAAATGTGGTCTTCCAAGTGAATTATACAACACGCAATTTTTACGTGTTAGATCTATAGAAACATGTCCACGCCTTTCGCATGTATGTTTCTCGTTTATTTGTAGACTCAATTACCAATAAATAATATTTATGATCTTTTTATATGACTATCTGATTGAGTCAGGTTTGAACATTATCGGGTCTAATTAAGAGTCATTTCCCGAACATCAATGATTTGATACTTTACAAATTAACTATTTTTTTTACATTGATATTATTATTTTTTAATATAGTACAAGTAACTTTGCTCTCAGTAGACATTTATTTTTGAGTAATGACATTAATTTCTTACTACATAAAAAAGAAAGAAAGAAAAATACTACTGCAATTAAGCAAATACTCCAGTTATTTTCTAAAATGGTGATGAAAATGATCAAAATTACATAAAACTTTGATTTTTGAACCATCGTTCTTAACGGGGCTTTTGAAAGTTGATTCTTGTCATGTTGATGGTGACTTTCAAGTCTACACCACAAGGGATAAAGCAATGACAAGGGTGATATTGTTTGATAACTCAAAAATAATAATAAAATAAATAAATATAGGATGGGACCACTTTGTTTGTTTTTTTTTTTTTTTTTGCTCCTTGGCCTCCACCACCCTCTGAAAGCAAGCGAAAAAGAATAAGGCAACCAAAGTCATATGACGCGCGAGCTTAAATAAAGGACACATCAAAGTTTTAAATCAAGACCTAAATCACTCCAATTTATTAAGTGTAAGTCAAGATATAAAATTTCAAAGTTAAACATTTGAAAGCTGCAAAATTATAGAGCAATGATTAGTGTAAATGACTTGGGACCACCAGTGATGATCTTCAAGTTTTTTTAAGGGGAAATTATAACGAGATCTCAAGAAAAAAAATTATCAATAAGTTTTAATGACAACTAAGTAGTTGTCATTTACTATTTAAAAACTTGTCATTATAAGTCACTCTGTTGTCATTGAAACTTTTTAGTAATTATGTTTCTTACTTGAAACTTTATAGTAATTTTTTTTTTATAAAAATGGAATGATATTTATGTAAATGTACTCAAGATTTTAATTTCTTAAGGTGCAATTTGGGTTTGGATTTGAATTTTAGATTTAAAATCTGACATTTAAAATCCATGTATTTAAAAAAAATCTTTTTGTTTGGGTAGTATAAAAATAATTCAAATTTTTATTCTTGTTTCAATTCAAACCTTTAACACAGAAGGGAACTGTTTAACATAGAAGCTAAGAGAGGAAGGTGGCATGGGTGGTAGCACTTTGATGATTATTATAATCATTTATAAGTTATTTTTCACATATAAAGAAATATATTAAATTAATAAAACATTTTAAATTTATTTTTATTAAAAGTTTTTTGTCTTCTCTCTCTATATTATTTATAAATGATTCTCGCCTCTTCTTTTCTTTTCTTTTTCTAATGAAATTAATAAGAATAAAATTGCAGAATGGTCATTAAATACCCTCTAAATGACTTGTAGTTAGGACCAAAAAATTTCTTTTACAAGCGGCAAGCGTTAACTAAAAAGAGAAAAAGATTATTGAAATTTGAGATAATTAGAGATTTAGAGTAGATTGGATATTTGAAATTCTAATAAAAAATTATAATACAAAATTCTCTTGAAATTTTGGAAGAAATAAAAACAAACAAATTTTTATATATTCAAATAATGAATTTATCCAAATTTAAATCACCATATTGATCCAGACATAACATTCTTTGAGAGTTATGTAAAGACTTTTAATATATGCTACCTCAATTTCAAGGGTTGAAGGTTATATTTGTTCATAAATACAATATACTAATCAATTTGATCTCTTATATTTATTACTTTTTAAATTAATTTATCTAACTTGTAAAATGATATATAATTAATAATTAATAATTTTTAATATATTAATTAGGAACTTCAAAATGCCCATTCAAGCGATTATATAAAGACAATGCAATTTTGACTTCTTCGTATTAGTTATTTTTTGTTGCTGCGAAATGTGCCTTTCATGGGTCAGATTGTTCACACCATGAGTTAATTATTCCAAAGTATAGTCACGCTATTTCTACCTCTAAATATAAGCTTTTTGGGTTAAGGGTGAAAAATACCTATAAAAATATACCAAAAGTTCACCCAACACCATGAACTTCCTTTGGGTTCAAATCTACCCATCAAAGTTTAAAAAAAGGTCAATAATACCAGCACTGTTAACATCCGTTTTTTAAGTAGTGGGACCTACTTTTTTTTAATGAAAATACTAAAATACCCCAAACAGAAAAAAAAAGTTAAGGGTAAAAAATACCCATGAACTTTTGGTAAAAATTCATGGGTATTTTTTACCCTTAACTTTTTTTGTTTTCAGTTGGGGGTATTTAAGTAATTTCATTAAAACCCCACAACTGAAAAAACAGACGTTAACAGTGCTGTTATTATTGACTTCTTTTTAAACTTTGATGGGTAGATTTGAACTCAAAGAAAGTTCATGGTGTTGGATGAACTTTTGGTAAAAGTTCATAGGTATTTTTGACCTTTAACCCTAAGTTTTTATATCAAAAATTAGGTTTATATTTCATAGTATAAATCAACCTCTTGAATATAGCAATAATCTTTTCTTTTCTTCTCTTTTGAAGGGTTGATAGCCTGAAATTACAGATAGGATCAAATTCACGACTTGTCGTTTATAGGAGAATTTTAAAGCCTCTAAATTATAATGTTATTGACAACAATCTTTTCCTTTGACGGCCTCTTTTTATACATTTCTATATCATTACGATATTTTATTAATATCTTAGCAAATATCATTCTTATTGTTAATTAATAACTATTGTTTCTTCGGTGATGGAATCTTTAGTTCTTCTTTTCAAAAGTTCAAAAATTCTTGTCTTCCCAACCATTTTTCTAATACGCAACTTCGTCGACACGGACTTGACCTTTCCATTCAAAAGAGCGGAGTGCTGAGTTTTTGTTTTTTGGTCAAAAGTGGAGTGCTGAGTTATTGGGGGCATCCACAATAAATTATTTATAAATGAGTATAAGTAATTGTTTTATTTTTTTTATGAATAAATTATTGTTCATTTCTTCCTACTATACATTAAAAACATGCACAAGGTATACAAATTAATCAATTTAATATTTACTCAATATATACTAAATTTCTATATCCCTATTATTAAAACCTATCTTTTCCTCTTCTTCCTTTCATATAGTTTCATTATTCTTTTGTGAAATCTAGTTGTTGTCAAATTGACGATGACTATGTAACCCAAAAAAAAAATTGACGGTAGCTATGAGGTCTTCTGAAAACTCAAACGTGCCACTCCACGAGACTTTATTTGTTCACACCCTGAGTGAACATATAGGCTATTCAATACCGGTCCGGTCTCTATTATAAATTACTTGTAGCCCTTTCTCATCTACCAAAAAATATATTAAATATGTCTCAAATTAATAAAATTTTTCAAATTTATTTTTATTAATTTTTTATATTTACAAATAATTCGCATATTTCTCTTCTCTTTCTTTTTTTCAATAGAAATTAAATTGGAGTAAAATTGAAAAACTATCATTAGTAACTCTTCAAGAGATATATTTGAAACCACACTTGTTTTGGAAGTAAAATTATACAACATGCAATTTTTACGAGTTTGTTTGATGTTGATATTGATTTCTTAATACAGTTCAAATAATTTTCCTCTTACTAGATTATATTAAATTGGATCAAATCGGCTTATGAGTTTATACATCAGTCTTCAGGACTCATTTTGATTTATGGCATCTAAGTTCTTACTACCTCCAGTCCTTAGTATAAGACCTCATTTAACTTTTATTTCCTTAATCTCTTCAATTAGTTAACTAGCTCTTATAATTAGGACCAGAGGTATTACTATAGATAATATAGAGTAAATAAAAATACCACAGCGATTAATAAAATACTGCAGAATTTTTTTCTAAAATGGTGATGAAAATCTAATATTAATAGTACATATTAGTTCTTTTATTCAAAAAATAGTACATATTACTTTCGCATTTCCAACAATTCAATCCTTTCAGATCTTACCCAAAACTTTGATTTTTCCACCATCATTCTTCATAGTTTGAAGCAATGGCAAGGTTAATATAGTTTGATGACTCAAAAATAACAATAAAATAAATAAACATAGAAAAGACTTAATTGCAAATCGATTAACTATTGAAGAAAAGAAAATCCAAGATGCTGATTGATCAATGGCCACCAATTAGGATTGGATTAAGTTGTGCAAGTACTTGAATCTTTCATGATGAGTCAATGGTTTTACTAATGAGATTGCAATATATATGTACTGTTGAAATTCAAATATTGTCAATAAGTGATTGGTTATACTTAATTTCATTAATTGAGTTTCCATTATAAGGAAATTGTTGAGTGATTTATAATTTATTTTCTTAAAAAACAATTAGATTGTCAAGTAAAAAGTTTTTATTTATTATTTGAAAGTTAGTAATTAATCACAATCATGCAATTTGGAATTGAGTTTACACGCCTTGACTTTGAATTGGAATTGGAGAGGTATAAAACGCCATGGGTGTTAATTTCTTGATGCACTAAACTTGCAAACTTGATAAGCGTGATATATGCTAAACATGGGAAAACCTCCTGCCTTTGTTTTCCTCTTCTTACTTCATTGCTTCATAGCCTCTTTAGCTTGGAGTAAAACAAACATCACCACAGACAAATATGCACTTCTTGCTCTTAAATCCTCTATCACTTTTGATCCGTACAATTTTTTAGCTAATTGGTTGGTCTCTTCTTCTCCATGCAGTTGGGTTGGAGTGAGTTGCAGTATCCGCCATGGAAGGATCCATTCCTTGAATCTCAGTAAGATTGGATTGAAGGGCATCATAACTCCACAGTTGGGAAATCTCTCATTCCTTGTTGAACTTGATCTTAGTAAGAACAATTTTCATGGTCAAATACCAAAGGAGTTAGTTCAATTACGTAGATTGAGAGTACTCAACTTGAGTTTTAATGAATTGGATGGGAAAATTCCAACTTGGATGGGGGATTTATCAAGATTGCAACACTTGAGTCTTGGCAATAATAGTCTTACTGGATTCGTTCCAACATCTGTTTGCAACTTGTCAAGGTTACATGTCTTGGATTTGAGTATTAATTTAATTGAAGGGAGTATTCCACGTGAGGTGGGAAGACTCAAGAACTTGAGGACTTTATCACTTGTGGGTAACAACCTTTCAGGAACCATTCCTCAGACAATTTGCAACTTATCTTCACTTGAATTATTAGACTTGTCTTATAACTCTCTTTCAGGTATGTCTTGAAAAATTTCTTATTAGATCTATATTTGTTTTTGATCCGACAAGTAGATTGATTAGCATGATATAATCCATTTATTGATTAAGGACAATGAATGCAATTTCTTTTTGAATTCTAGGCAGCTTATTTTCTTTAATTTTTTGAATGAAAATTAATTTGCAAGTTCTTAGGATTTACCTCAATTTCAAATTAGTTGTCCATAGTTTATTTTGTTTAAACTGAAACCTGATAATTTAATCCATTATTTCACACTATTTTAACACCCATGCATTTCAATAAAGGGTTAACGTACATCCAGACATGTTCTCGAGTGTATCCGGTGCTCTAAGTGCTTTTTAATCCCTCTAGCATCCTGAAATATTTTTCAGGTACGTCCATCACTTTGAAGTATTTTTTGGCTTTAGTGTTGGATACACCAAAAAATATTTTATGGTGCCAGACACACCTAAACAATACTTAAGGGTACTAGATGCTCCAAAAATACTTTACAGTGTTGGCCCACTTGAAAAATACTTTATGGCACTTGTCTAATTAGATTGGAAGGATCATGGGTATTTGAAAATTAAAAGTAAGCCTAAAATATGTAAATGTTCTCTGATACATATTAACTTATGGAAGTTAATTGAAATTAAATTATATGCAAGCTATAAAGTTGATATATTGACATTTCGTTTGTTTTTGATATTTCAAGGAGGCGTTCCTATTGACATTGGCAATCTTCCATCATTGTGGATCATGGACCTTTCATTCAATCAGTTTTCTGGTTCTATACCATCTTCAATATTTAATAGTTCTATGCTTCAGGTCATTAATCTTGGTGCAAATAACTTCTCTGGTAATCTCCCAATAAATTTATGCTTTGGGCTTCCAAAAGTTGAAGTTCTTTATCTATTTGAAAATGACTTGTCTGGTGAACTGCCCCCCATATGGCATCAGTGCAAAGAATTAGTAGATCTAGAATTAAGCAGAAACGATTTCAATAGAGGAGTCATACCAAGTGACTTTGCAAATTTGACCAACCTCCAATATTTATATCTTGAGGACACCAACTTGGAAGGTATGAGTTTTAATTATATCCGTATGTTTTAGTTGTTTATCTTAAGTTATTTTATTTTGATTGCTGATCTTCTTCAAGTTAAGTTGATGTTCATAAATTCTAGTAGTAATAATGGCAATTCTATTGATAGAGAAAAACATAACAAGTAACTACTTGAGCCCCAAAAAAAACATGCAAGTCAGATGTAAATTGGCTATAAATTAGATTTTTTTTTAAAAACCCGAAAGTGAAAATGATGTGTAAGAATAAATAGCAGTAAGAATGAGGCAAATATGTACTAATCAACTGAAAAGCATGACTATAGAATACGGGGGACAACTAACAAGATGATGTAATTATTTTTCTTAGGATATCCGACAATTTCCATGAAAAATAGATCAATAAAAAAATGTACTTAAATGGATTAATAAAAGAGTAAGAAAATGTTTTCTTTGGCAAATTTAATCAATTTATTGAAATGTTTTGTCAGTGTATATGTATACCACTACATGCTTTACCACTATAGTAAACATCTTAATTAACCAGTGAAATATCTTGGTTCCTTTGGAAAAATATGTACAAAAATATGGGGGAAAATGTCCAAAAGAAGTATAGAATTTTATTAGATGGACCCGGATCCAACAAAAGTCAGTCCGAAGGGATGTTATGCAAAATAAGTCAAGTTAATTAGTAGGAATATAATTCACAGGCACTAGCACACCAATTCTTATATCGGTCGTATTTATTATTAGATTAGATTTTTAGTGAATTAAGTATATCTTAGATTTTTTTTCCTATCAGAACAGTTTAAGCCAACTTACCTCAAGGCTATATATCTTTAATTTATCTTTTAATTAGTCGATGTGTGACTTAATATATTATAATAGCATTATCCTATTTTCAAATGAAATTAATTAATATGACTTCATATTTTTCACTCTATAAGTCTATGTTATGTTTTGCTCTTTTCTTGGCATCTATATCTATTCAAAAGTCAATGTCAGTCATGCATCTATTAGTTCCCTTAATTTAAAGTAATATAGTTTATACAGTTGTTCACTTTTAATTTTGAGCAGGTGAAATTCCAGCATCTCTCTTCAGCAATATTTCTTCTTTAATAGAAGTATCTTTGGAGGAAAACAACTTAAATGGATCTCTCCCAGCATCACTTGGCAATAAAACACTGCTCAATTTCTTATTTCTACAATTCAATTCCTTCACAGGTATGTTCAATAATCTACCGTCCATTGATTTTGTGATTTAAGGAAGTTCCGCTTATTAGTTATTTATTTATTTGAGTGTGGGAGAAAGCAAAGTTTCTCCTATGTTATCTCAAAAATTCTAACTCAATATAAAAGTAATTAAAAACTTCAGTATACTTGTTTTTAATTTTTTAAAAAGTTCATTATACTTATTTTATAATAAAATTAAAAACCTTAGTATGCTTGTATTCATCCGGTCCAATTTATAAAGCAGTTTAAACATGTCTCACCAGAATCAAGAAAAATCTTAATTTCATTAACTTTGCTATCTTAAAATTTAATAACTTTCAATTTTACCTATTTTTTTAAAACTTTATTCATGTTTAATATATATACTTTTCAAAATATAACAGTTAAATAACAACAAATAAATTGGAAGTAAAATTATATGTTCATATAATAAATTTAATCAAGTAACTTATATCAATAACAAAAAAATATTCTTAGTCTCTGCCCTTTAAATAGAACCAGAAATATGTTTGTGTGTCTTCTAATAGAGTCCGTTTTCATAATCAATTATCATTTAAAAAGATCAGGTCCTGTTTGTCTTTAAAAAAAAAAAAGTCGGCTTTCAATTATTTAAAGGATTGATAGTTGTATAACTTAGCTCATCATAAAACCTTTACACAATGGGGGAGTACTTTTAAGAAAGTGATTGTTTTAAAAAAAGCTTATTCAAGTGGCTTATCAAAATAGGCTGAAAATAGTTTTTTAAAGTATTATATTAAAAAGTTAAACAAACAATTAAAAACAAGCAAATCCCTGATGTTAAGCTTGATTAAAATCATTTTCTAATTTTAAACAAATTAGCTCTTAATCAAAGTGATAATTAAGAAAAATTATTCATAGATTGCGTCTCTCTCTCTCTTTCTCTCTCTCTGTTTTTTTTAAAATACAGGTGAAATTCCTCAGTCTCTTTTCAACATGCCTTCTATAAGAGAGTTTAGCCTTGGCATCAACCAATTATCTGGTACTTTGCCTGAACATCTGTGCTATGGACTCCCTTTACTTGAAGTCTTTGCGGTTGTTTCAAATCAATTAGAAGGAAACATTCCAAAATCAATAAGCAACTGCACATTTATGAAAGGATTATCCATGGGTGGCAACTTTTTTACAGGTATAACCTTATCCAATACACATATAGTACACACCTATTTCTTAACGTACATGTAATTAATTAAATAAATTAAGATTTTCCAAAAAGTAGTCAACTATTTTAAGCTTACCAAAATATGGTTAGTTTATGTAGTATTAAACGATTCATTCATATATACTATATATATATATGTATGTATATACTCCCATTGGTTCTGAATGCATGAGCCAGATAACTTATTATTTGCATATATTAAGAAAATTAGTTTAAGTTAATTATTTATAAGTTGATTTCTCTAAAATATCACTTTTGATCATTTGCATTAAAAACCGATTTCTTGAGAAAAAATTATAAATTTGAAGATAAGACAGATTGCGATTGTATATTTAAAATCAAAACAAACCCTTTTATCACCTCTTACATTTAAAACCAAAGAGAATAGTATACAAAAAGCATTTCTTATATTTTATTCTTTTTGCAAGTCCATTCCTTTTTAGAAATATTAGCATATATCAGTGTTTCTTTTTTCAGGTTCTATACCCAAAGACATTGGCAATCTTGATAAACTTGAACAATTAGATTTGTCCACGAATCATTTAAGCGGACATATTCCTTCTAATATATTCAACATCTCAGCAATACAGCGACTGTACCTTGGGTTTAATTTCTTCTCCGGCCTTCTCCCATCATATTTAGGAAGTGGCCTTCCGAACCTGAAAGATTTTAGTGTGGAAGTGAACGAACTTTCTGGACAAATTCCAAAAAGCATAGTAAATGCTTCTAAACTCTATAAGTTATTTTTAAATGGGAATAAATTTAATGGAGAAGTACCCAATGTTATTGGGAATTTAACCAACTTGGTGGCATTATATCTGGGAGAGAATGATTTGAATGGGTTGATTCCTCCAACAGTTAACAAATTACAAAGCCTTCAACTTTTTGATGTCAGTAACAACAAAATGCAAGGGTCCATTGTCGAAGAACTTTGCCAAGTAAAAAGGTTGAATGTGTTGTATTTGGCTAATAACATGTTTTCAGGAACAATTCCAAGGTGCCTTGACAATCTTTCTAGTTTGCAAAAGTTGGACTTCAGCTCTAACAAATTGACTTCCCATATTCCCTCTTCTCTTTGGAATCTCAAAAATATTTTGGTCTTAGACTTATCTTCCAATGCAATTAGTGGAAGAATTCCACCTGAGGTGTCCAACTTGAGATCACTTGTAGAATTGAACTTGTCAAGAAATCAAATTTCAGGAAACATTCCTATAACGATAGGAGGCTTACAGAGCTTGCAAAACTTATCGTTGGCTCATAATAATTTACAAGGTTCTATACCAGAATCTTTTGGTGACATGTTAAGCATTGAGTTTTTAGATCTTTCTCAAAATTATTTGTCTAGTGAGATTCCAAAGTCATTAGAGTCACTTTCCCATTTGAAATACATTAATCTTTCCTACAATTTATTGCATGGAGAAATTCCATATGGTGGGCCTTTTAAAAATTTTAGAGCAGAATCTTTTGTTATGAATAAAGATCTTTGTGGGAAGCCCCAATTAGGAGTCCATCCATGTATTATAAGAGAGAAGCACAGGTCAGCTAAAATGATGCTTTTGATCAAATATTTATTGCCTATCATGGTCGCAATCATTTTGGTCGGTTCTTGCATAGTGTTTGTCAAGTGTAGGAAGCATCAGGTGGGTGAAAGGACCAATGGGGATTTCTTACATTTGGACCCACGCAGGATATCCTATTATGAACTTTTGCAAGGAACAAATAGATTTGATGAGAGTAATATTCTTGGTAAGGGAAGTTTTGGGTCTGTGTACCAAGCAATTCTTTCAAGTGGAAAAATAGTTGCTGTGAAAGTTTTCAACTTGGACTTGGAAGAAGCATTAAGGAGTTTTGATGTTGAATGTACTACGCTATGCAATTTACGTCATCGCAATCTTATTAAGATCATTAGCAGTTGCTCAAATAATGATTTCAAATCTCTAATAATGGAATTTATGCCAAATGGGAGTCTTGATAGATGGTTGTACTCCTATAACTATTGTTTAGACATCTTGCAAAGGTTAGACATAATGATTGATGTGGCATCTGCACTTGAGTATCTTCATCATGGTTCTTCTTCACCAGTGGTTCATTGCGATGTGAAGCCGAGCAATGTTTTGTTGGATAACAATATGGTAGCGCATCTCAGTGATTTTGGAATTGCCAAATTGTTGGGCTTTGGGCAATCAGAGATTTTTACCAGAACTTTGGCTACATTTGGTTATATGGCACCAGGTGATGATTTGGTAATCTTATTATGTTTTATATTTCTTTTTTCAAGTTCTCTTATACCTTCACCAAAAAAAATGTTCTCACACATTCACACACATACACATCCTATAAGAAACTATATTTTGTTACTCGATTCCTCCTGATGAATATATATACACACTTTTCAACATTCCATGATTTATATTAATGATAAACATTCACAATGTTTTAACAAAAAGTCTTTCTTTTCTTTGACATAATTGCTATTTTACTTGGCATTCAAATTGGCATGCAGAGTATGGATCAAAAGGAGCTGTTTCTGTTAAAGGAGACATATATAGTTTTGGTATTTTGCTTATGGAAACACTCACAAGAAAAAAGCCAACAGATGAAATGTTTGGTCAAGGCTTAAATTTAAAAGATTGGATTGGCGAATCAATACCACATTCAATCATCAGTATTTTAGATGACAATCTGCTGGATAGACACAATCCAAATATTGGTAACATATTACCACATATTTCATCAATTTTTGAATTAGCCTTAAACTGTTGCATTGATGTACCTGAGGCACGACTTGATATGACAGATATTGTGGCTTCATTGGAAAAAATAAGGTCACGTCTATGCAAAGTGTTAGGCACCAGCCATTAGGTGAATGACTGTTAAAATCAAATTTTAGTTATTACCATTTCATCAGCCTTTTGGCTTGTCTTATTTGTAGAACATCTCGTGAAATGGAGGGGGTGATATTTGAGATTTCAGATCTTGTGTAATTATTTGGGTTTTTGGATATCTTCATGTTATTTGTTTTTATTTTGCGTCAAATTTACATTTAAATAATAAGATCATGGTGTCCTTTTATTATTATTATTTTTAAAGACAACTATACAAAGCTTGGGAATTTGTTTTCCTACTTTCCAATTTCGCCATTGCAAAACATTTAGAAATAAATGGTTTTCTTAGTTAATGAAGCGAAGCTTGCCTTGGATTTTTTATCTTTCCTCTTCTATCCTCTGCTTATGTTTTTGTAAACCTCAAACTTTAATTTACTTTAAACCCTGATCAAATGTTGATTATGTAACAAAAAAATAATAAAGAATCTAAATTTAAATAATTACCTGAGCCCATTGGGCACTACTGCATTGAATAGTATTGTTTAGTTTTAAAGAGAAGAAGGAAGAGTCAACATTTAAATGTTTTATAAATGCTTTAATTTTTAATGTTTTTTAAATATCTAACTCTTTAAATACTTATATTTTAAAATATAGAAATATTTATATTAAAGAATTAAATTTAGAGCATTCTTGGTCAGTATTCAATTGTAGAGTCATTGTTTAAATTTTCTGAATCAGTACTTTTCTCTAAATGAGACTAAAGGTATTAAAGCTAAAGACTAAAAATACACCTTTTAAGCTTAGGGGTTTAAACTGAAAGTTGAGATAAATTTAAAGGATGAAATCTAACTTTAACATAAATATAAAATATCAATCCATTTTGCCTTCCATATTTATAATTTTGGATAAAGTGTACATTTCAAAATTTAAGTTTACATTAAGTATTAATTTAATCATTTAAATTTAAGAAGTATGTATTTAGCCCCCTTAAACATAATACCATGAAAAATACTAAGTCAGTGATTTCAAAATGACGACTCAGCATTTAAATACCAACACATTAATTTTAATTTAAAATTTATAAATTAAAGAATATTTAAATTAACATAAAAGTTATTCAAACATAATTATTTCCTATGCCTGACTTTTTAAACATGGTTTTATAAGACTTACTCTTGACTTTTCATGAAAATAATATTTCAAAAATATTTTAAATTGTAAATTCTTAATTTTATATGGTTACCTTTTATATTATGCAAGGAACAAAAAACCGGACTGGAAACTCAACCGGTTCAAGTAGTGGGTCAATGGTCACTGGTCGAACCGTGGCCGAACCGGGGTCGGACCGGTCATAATAAAATAATAAAATTTAATTCACAACATTAAAGTGGAATAAAATTCATAAGTAATAATCATTGAAGGAAATATAAGAACTTACAAAAGTAGTTTAAATGTTTAATTATACAAAATGATCATTAACAAAATACATATCTTCATCACTATACTAATAACACTCCCCTCCCTTCTCAAATCTGACGGCTATGGATCAAGTCAAAAGTAGTTTAAATGTTTATACTCTCCTCCCTTCTCAAATCTCATCGCTATGGATCAAGTCAAACAACACTCCCCTCCCTTCTCAAATCTCACGACAGCAGTCACAGCACAGAGAGAAGCAGCTAAAAACAACTTAATGGCTAAACCGAAGGTGAAAAGGAAAGGTATTGAGCTTACCCATAAGGCTCCGAGGAGAAGACTGTAAATATTATGTATGGGTGTGTCAAAGGAAGAGTCCCACATTGCTTGGGATTGTGAGGGTCCAAGTAATAAGTGGTCTTGGGCTACCAAATGGGCCAAGAGGAGGAGTGGACTTACGCGCACAATGGGCCACCGGAGACAAATCCGGCAATTTCCCCTATCCCCCTGTGCACAAGTCAAATGCGGTACTGGGCACTTTATTGGAAATATCCATCTAAATTTTAATTATAATTATGCCTCTTCAATGTTCGTAACCGAAGACTTTATTCTCCTTAAATAGTCATTAAACAAGTTAATTACTACTTGAAACCGCTCATTTAATTATGAGTTAATTATCATTAAGCACGTTTAAATGTGCCTAATGGTATTGTGATCCGTAGCCTATAAAAGGGGCATGAGACGGAAGTTCAAACAGGGACCGCCGTGCTCTGAGCTTTCTGGAAGAATCCGTTTAATCCTGGGGAGTGTCGCTTCTTGCTTTGCCGGTAGTTGCGGAATAGCTCTTAAGGACAGTGTCTGTAAGACACGACTCGGATTTACCGTTCTCTGCAGGTGTTGCTGTCAACAGGGTTTGCCTAGCATTATAGAGGAGGTGGAAGATCTGCTAGATCTTGGAGAATTTTGGTGCTGCCGCCAACAATCTTAAGAGCTAGTGCAACATCATTTGTTTTGGCAATAGAGTTATCAGACAGGGAGTCATCTGAACTTTGTCCTATTTTAATTTCACTTCTATTTTCTCTTGCACAAGAGGAATATTGAGTTGGTCTCACATGTTTTTTGTACATTCCTTCTAGGATGTTTTTGAGACCTCTTTGTCTTTTATTGAGATGGTAGTAAACAGGTGCTAAACTCATGTTGACCCCTGGTAATTATAGAGGCCAGGGATGAATTGAGTGTTGAGTTTTAACTCACATACCCGGGCACGACCCCCTAATATGGTGATCTGAATTGGTGGTAGATGTGAACCCGATGAAGGCATGAGTTGAGGTAGTTAGTCTGATTTGAGAAGATGGGTTTTAAGGTGTGTCATATGATTAAGCTGGCCATGACGGTTGATAACCCTGAGTGCCAAACTTGCCTCTTTAATCAAACTCACTGGACCTTGTGGATACTATATTTGGATGAAAAGTCTGGGGGCATGAATGCCATTATTGTGTAGAGGTGCTGTTAAGCGTGCTTCCCACGAGATTGTTGCAATACTCTCAGCTTAATCTACCGTCACAGGTACATGTTCTTCTAATTAAGGTTGAAAAGAAATTATTGCAAATTGAGAGTACAAATATTGATGTGTTTATTAATCAAAAGAATTATATGGCTTGTGAAAATTAGCATTGGCGTTGATATCTAGCATGTGAATTAACGAGAATTCACTGTGTTTAAAGTCATTTACATGTCATCAGTTGTGTGAAACTGCTTATTTGACATTCAAATTAAAGCTTGAGGCTTTGTCAATATGCAAATTAAAATTTGCATGTGATATGGAAATCTGACTAGTATATGTTAGTCGGAAGAATTACTTTTTGTGTGAATGTTTTATATATTTCTGTTATGAAGATGTTAATGGAATCTTTATTTCGTATTTTAAAGTAAATAAATTTTGGAGTGGTTACGTAAGAAGCATTCAAGTTTTACGAATATCAAGGATGAAATTTAACGTTGAGTTATTGGGTGAATGTTACTGTTGGTGAATTTAACCTCTTGCATCCGTTGGAGACTTGCAGTCTTAAAGGTTTTATTGCATTTAATTGATGAGTATATAAATTGGTTTCAATAGGTGTTATTACTTTACTTGTGTCAGCAAAATAATTTACTTCCTATCCGTTGGAGGACTTACTGTTTAATGAGTATATTAATTTGGTTTAATGATTGGTAACCTTCTAGTTTTATTCTAGCAAATATGCTGTTGGTTTCATACGTTAGTTCTCTTTGCATTGATTCCACATGCATCATTGGGTTTCATGTGTTCTAAAAATGGTTAACGTTGGTGGGTTTTATTCCTCCACATTGAAAGCTTCGTTGGGTTGTTCAATATATATGATTAATTTGGTCTCAATAATTGATAACCTCCGATTATTATTTCATCGGGGTGATTTAAATTATCACTTTTAGTATGCCAACAGTAATTTCTTCAAAGTACTATAACTGATCATTTACAGTAACTATATACCTATAATGTGTGATGCTGCTTTTATGTCGGGGGAAAAAAAACACTTGTATTGGCGTTGGCATTTGGAGTTTTCAAATAATTTAGTATTTAGATATATGGTTTGCTATATGTGTGCAGTAACAAAATATTGTGAGAAAAGTTCTAATTTAAGTAGAATTATTATTGATAAGGTATGAAATGATTTTCCCATAAAAATGAAATATTTGAAAGTGTGGGGGTGCCTAAAATGTGGGGTACCTTACAGAAATAATATTGGTGGAGAAGAATATGTTTTAATTTATGTTAGTCTCATTTTGCAAATCTCAAGATGTGTGTTGTGATTTTTAAAATAAAAAAAAGTGGAGGTTTTGTTATTTGCTATTGAGAGCAAATTTTGTGAATTATCAAATCTTTCTATGTTGCTTAAAACAAGCATTATGTGGGTATGAAAATTTAGTCATTTATCTAGTGTAAAGATAAATGTGTTTTAATTTTCATAATATCATTATTTGAGGATAAATAACTTATCTTGATATAAATATGTATGAGTATGCACAACTATTGTGAATATTGAATGTGGATTAAGTGTTAAAATCATAAAGGAATGAGATTGAGAGAAATGTTTCTAAAGCTTGGTTTTTGAGAACCAATATGTGAATATTCCTTGTGATGCTAATATTTTGTTTGAGGTAGTTGTGCAGCTCAACCTGTGTATGCACAAATTCTTGAGAATTTGTTTGCATTAAATAATTAATCGCTGTGATATAAAATGAAATACTTGAGGGATACCATAAATTTTGGTGTCATGTACAGTGGATTCCCGTGATATAGAGATACACGGATGTTAACTGAATTTCAGTTTATATGAGAAAAATTCACTAGTGATCATTCACCTTTAGTGGTGATTAGAGGCTAAGATGCTGAAAATTTCTTAGCAGATGTTTTGGTGTAAAACCGACACTTGTCGATGAGTTGTGATTGCCAAATGGCAATAACCATTGTAGAGAGAACAATGGTGCAAATGGAAATTACTTGAGATACAATATGAATAAGCATGCTTAAAAATTGCGGAGGTATCTCAATCAATTTTATGAGGTCAAAGTGGACCTAGCGGATCTGTTAATAACCCTAGGAAGAAACAAATCAGTCGAGGGGAATGGGACTAAAGCCACTTGAAATTGACAACGATGGCAACCCAACCTTTGTGATTGGTGATCCCATGAAGAAGGTTCAATGGGTAAAAACAAGTTGTTTGTCAATTCTGCTAGCACTAAAATAAATTATTAGTCCCTTCTTATGGCACGAGAAAGTGCTAGAATGCATTTTGGTGAGGCTGAGCGAAAGCTCTTAATGATTTCATAATCCTACGGGATGATGTGCTCATTGCAGGTACATTTAATGAAATCACCTCTACGAATGTGGAGTGGGCCCGCTCCTATGAGATCGTGACAAAATCTCTAAAGCATTCGTTATGCACTAGGCACGCGCATGGCCGTTTTAACGCGCAAAAATGCCGTTAACAGCGAAAATGTGGGGGTATAATCTGACTAATAATGCCTCTAGTATACGCCTAAGAGGTGTTGGTTTTAAGTTCATAGGACCACCAATATCTCTGTGTACTAAGTGTTATTGGTTTAGGTCAGGTTTTAAGTCCAAAGGACCACCAGATACAATGGTTATACTCATGTGTGTAACTCAACTAAAGGTACTTCCTTTGACACATGTGGGGGATTGTTGTAAATATTATGTATGGGTGTGTCAAAGGAAGAGTCCCACATTGCTTGGGATTGTGAGGATCCAAGTAATAAGTGGTCTTGGGCTACCAAATGGGCCAAGAGGAGGAGTGGACTTACGCGCACAATGGGCCACCGGAGACAAATCTGGCCATTTCCCCTATCCCCCTGTGCACGAGTCAAATGCGGTACTGGGCACTTTATTGGAAATATCCATCTAAATTTTAATTATAATTATGCCTCTTCAATGTTCGTAATCGAAGATTTATTCTCCTTAAATAGTCATTAAACAAGTTAATTACTACTTGAAACCGCTCATTTAATTATGAGTTAATTATCATTAAGCGCGTTTAAATGTGCCCAATAGTATTGTGATCCGTAGCCTATAAAAGGGGCATGAGACGGAAGTTCAAACAGGGACCGTCGTGCTCTGAGCTTTCTGGAAGAATCCGTTTAATCCTGGGGAGTGCCGCTTCTTGCTTTGCCGGTAGTTGCGGAATAGCTCTTAAGGATAGTGTCTGTAAGACACGACTCAGATTTACCGTTCTCTGCAGGTGTTGCTGTCAACAGGGTTTGCCTAGCATTATAGAGGAGGTGGAAGATCTGCTAGATCTTAGAGAATTTTGGTGCTGCCGCCAACAAAGACTGCGATCCACCATCGTGGATGGATCCTGCAAGTCCAAAAAGAGGCTCAAAGCATGAGCTAGTCGTTGAGCTTCTCGTCCCACGCATTCCAACACCCCCTATTCCCATTTGCTTTAAAAATACTAATATGCTCACACTTTGCGACTCATAGTCTCACACTCACACACCAACTCATTCCTTTCCTCTCGCAGTTCGCAGAAATGGTTGGATTTACATACGTTTCTGATACGGACGACGAGTCGGCCATCGACCAAATCATCTCTCAAGCTCAAGATGCCTGTGTTTTGGAGCAAGTTTCCACCATCAATTGCGCTTTCCTCACCGATTCCGTCCTCCCCACTGACCTTGAATCCCGGTTCCGCAAACTCAAATCGTTTCCGGTCACTAAATCAAAGCAGCTTCCGAAGACCTCTTCGGCAAGGGGGAAAGCAGGATCTAGTTCTTTATCTAATGAGCAAACTCCTCATTTTTCACCCTCCAAGCAAGGTAAGATGGTTTTGGACGGCAAGTCACAATCTGGATACATGTCGGATCATTTGGATATTTCGAAGGACGACAAAGTGGAATTCTTCCCGCGGGAAAGAGGTGGTGTCGGTGAAATCTAAACACGGCTCTGTTTCTTCTCCTTCTAATTCTTCATATTCTTCGGAGGAAGGTTCAATATCTTCGCTGTTCAAACAAAAATTGGGTTCGAAACAAAAATCAAAAGGTGGGTCGCAGTCTTCTCCTGGGAGCAGGTGCAAGAGATCTCAGCGATTTGGTCACAAATGGGGGAGGACTAGAGGAGGACCGAGGGCTCGAGTTGAGACTGGCAGGTTAAGGAGGGAGAAAGAGTGTTTTTTTTTTCAAGACAAAACTGTGTGAACCGCCCAACGGGTTTTTTTCCGGTTTAACACCGGTTTTAACCGGTTGGACCGGTTCCCCACCGGTTCAAACCACATCTGGTTTTTTCTGCAAAACAGATAGGACTGGCGACCGATTCACCGGTTTTCCAATTGACAATATTATTATGATATCAGATTTAGTATAAAAGTTAGCAATAATTAACACTAATCCTTAAAATACTTATAATTTTTGAATTTTTAATATAATATAAATTTTAAATATTAGTTAGATACTTTTTCAATGATAAAAATAAAGAAATAAAATTATTTATTTCATAATTATTAAATTGTTTACAAAATTGTTGATAAAAGTAAGGTTTTATTTTAAATATTTTGAATTAAAAATTTATATGTCAACATTTGAATACCCATTCATCATTTTAAAATCGTTTAATTAGCATTTTTTTAATTAGTAATGGTAACGATGTTCAGAGGTTTCCTGTTCAATTGCGTCCGACTGTATGCGCTGTTGTGATGCTACTGCATAATTGATGAATGATACAGCTCTTACTTTGATTTTTAAAAAAATAAAACAAAAGAAACAGTAATATTTATTAAATAACAAATTTAACTAATTTCTTTATTATCTATATATTTGTTATCTAAATCTGTGTTCAACACAGGAGGAACCGGGGGAGTATAACAATTTCAAATTTTATTCCTATGTTTTAATTCAAACCTATAACACATACTTAGAAGATATGGTTTAACATGAAACGGCAGAGACAGCTAAAAGAGGAAGGTAGCATGGGAAAAAGACAATGGTTACTCAATTATCGAAATCCCACAAATTTTTATCTATGCAAATAATGAATTTAATCCAAATCTAAATCCAAATTCAAACCACCATTGATCGAAACATATTGTTTGATATTCTCTCTGGTCCTTATTATTATAAGAATACACTAACTAATTTACACATACCAATAAAACTAGTTAAAAGCTTTAAATCTATCTTGAAATTCAAATAGTTTCTAAAACTACCCTTATTAATTACACTAAATTCTAATATCATATTAATTTTTATTCTCTCACTATTCACATTAAATATAGACATATATTGAAAAAAAATATTTAATACTCATAGAAACTGTCAAAGGATCTTATAACAAAGACTAAGAATTTTTTCTAGAAGGACTATTATGTTATTATTAGAAATTTCATTCTCCCTTCCCCGTGATTTCGATTTCATTCTCCCAATTAATATCAAACTTCTCTCTCTCTATGTTTTTTTTTTTTGGATAAAAAGATCAAATATATAAAAATGAAAATATTATACACGTAATGCCGCCATGACTTGTGATCCGGGGAGGGGGAAGGCAATAAAATTGCTCTTGAATGGAAGGATATTGATATGAGTCAATTAAGCAGAGAAAGTAGAGGCAACTTGAGTCACCTAACGCAATATCATATTGACTTTGACTTTAGCTCTTATCCAGGTTCAAAGACTTTTGATGTATTAACGAAGGACAAAATATCCACACAAGCTTCCTTTCTCACGCTAACGTTCTTTTCGGGCTGCAAGAAATAATTGCAATGAACTTGTGGTCCATGGGAGAGAGTAAAGACTGCGCAATTTTGACTTCGTTTAGGGTACAACGTTCAATGTTTATGTTTGTTCTTTCCAAATATGCCTTTCACATGGGTCGGGTTGTTCACACCATGAGGTAATTTTTCCGAAGTAGTACAATCATGCTATCAAGTTACTTTTTTGAAGAAAAAAATAGATTTAAATTTCAGAATATATATACATATAAGTCAGACCGATCTTTAACAATAAAAATGCTTATTTTCTACTAACGTTCTTGATTCATTGCTTATGTATTAGAATTGGATAAGTTTATAAAACATGTTAATTCAGAAAAAAACTTGAAGTGATAAATTTCTTAAGTTGTATACCCCCGTCATTCCAAAATATAAGTCATTTTAACCAACTAGTCAATATAAGACATTGTAAGTTAATTCATTAAATGTGCTATAAATTAAATATCTTTTCCGACTTTACTCGTATTAAACGAGGTAGTGAATGAGAGAGAAACATAAAAGGAATTATATTTAAACATTAATTATAGGGATAAAATTTACAAATAGACATTAATTATTTTTTAAGTGACTTGTATTTTGAACTAAATCATTCTTTTAAAAGCAATTTATATTATGAATCAAATGGAATAATGTAGGTAACAGTGACTTGCATTTAAGATTGATGATGGTCATATATTTCAGAGGCAGGTAACATCAAAATAAACACATGATATATACAATTATATAGTGTCGAATGATAGTAGTTTTGTAGAATACCACTCGTTCCATTTTATAAGACGGTTAACGGAATCGTGTTAATAAAAGATGTGGCTAAAATTAGTTAAGTGCCATAAATATGCAAAGAAAACTAATTTATTTTCCAAAAACACCTTTATAAAAAAAAATAGGTGGGAGAGAGAATGAGGAAAAAAAGGTGAAAGAAAATCTAATTAATTGAGAGTAAATATGAAAAAAAAAATTACGTTAAATATTTAGACACTTCTAAGCTATTTCTTATAAAAGGTAACATGCCTTTTCAAAAAACCATCTCTTGTAAGAAACAAAGACAGGAGGGGTAGTATTTTATCAATATCTTAGGGCATCTCATTCGTATATTTGTTATTTCGTCCGTGATCGAATCGTTAGTCTTTTTCTCCAAAAGACTTCTTTCTTTCTTTGGTTTTTTTTGAATGGGATAAGTTTATAAAATTTGAGTGAATTAGGAGAAAGCAGCGAGGAAATTGATATTGATATGATGAGTCAATGAAGCAGAGAAAGTGGAGGCAACTTGAGTCACTTAATGCAATGCTCTCTCCGTCCCTTGTTATAATATCCTTTTAACTTGAGTCACCTATTGCAGTGTCATATTGACTTTAGTCCTTAAAATAAAAACTAGTTTGACTTCTTTTTTTGGTTACATGAGGGGCGGGATCGAACCCGCACATTACCAACACACACACACACTAGGTGCCACTCCGCCTAGAGGCGGTTGGCAAACTAGTTTGACTTTATTTTAAATATAAGATCTCAATTCACTTTGTCTCTCATATTTATTCATTTTGTTTTTCAAAATAGTCTTTATAGCAACTGCACATGTTAAAGATCTCATCAAATAATATTTATAACGAATATACATGATTAATAAGGATATTTTAGGAAAGACAATACCTAATTATTACAAATAACTAATTTAATAAATTTTTTTTAATTTACTCAAATTAGTCAACTAGTTTTTATATTAAAGACCTGAGATAATATTAATGAAGAACAAAATATCCACACAAGCTTCCTTTCTCACGCTAACGTTCTTTTCGGGCTGCAAGAAATAATTGCAAAGAACAGGTCGTCTTCAAAGCGGTCACGGGAGAGAGTAAAGACTACGCAATTTTGACTTCTTTTAGGGTACAACGTTCAATGTTTGTATTTGTTCTTTGCAAATGTGCCTTTCACATGGGTCAGATTGTTCACCCCATGAATTTATTTTTCATAGTAGTACAATCATGCCATCAAGTTACTTTTTTCTTTAACAATAAAAATACTTATTTTCTACTAACGTTCTTGATTAATTGCTTATGTATTAGAATTGGATAAGTTTATAAAACATTTTAATTCCAAAAAAAAACTTAAAATGATAAATTTCTTAAGTTGTGTACCTCCCTCAGTCCAAAAATAAATCATTTTAACCAATTAATCAAAATCAAGAAATCGTAAGTTGATTCATTAAATGTGTTTTAAATTGAGAATCTTTTTCAACTTTACTCATATGAGGTAGTGAATCACTACAAAAAAATTGACTTTCAGCGGCGACAAGTATAAAAGTCGCCACTGAAAGTTTTCGGCAGCAACAAGTCGCCGCTAAAAAGTCGTTGCCGTAGCAGCCGTGGCTGAAAACTTTCAGTGACGACTAAAAAGGTTGCCGCTAAAAGATACTTTCAGCAGCAACTTTTAGAAGTTTCGGCGGCAACATTTGTCGCTGCTAAAAAGCCTTTTAGCGGTGATAAGAATGTCGCCGCTGAAAGACACTTTTGGCGGCGACATTCTTGTCGCCGCTAAAAGACTTTTCGGTATGTTTACCTGCGACTTTTTTGTCGCCGCTGAAAATAATGCCTAAGAAGAGTTGGCTTTACCAACGTCACGTCATTACCGCCGACACCACATCATCATTGCCGGTCGCCACGTCATCACCGTCGGCCGCCATGTCATCATCCAATTATTTTCATCTTAAATATGTCTTCTTCAAGATTCGAACTCGTGACCGCCTCCTTTCATGTCCAATCTTCTTGCCATTGAGCTAGATTGAATTTGTTTATTAATATTGTAAAATAAAATATATATTATTATATTACACTTTCAGCGGCGACCAAAAAAGTCGCTGCTGAAAGTCCACTTTCAGCGGCGACACTTTTGTTGCCGCTGAAAGTCTTATTGTCAGCAGCGAACTTTCAGCAGCGACAAAAAAAGTCACCACTGAAAGTCCATTTTCAGCAGCGACAAAAATCTTAGTTTTAGCAGCGAACTTTCAGCGGCGACAAAAAAAATCGCCGCTGAAAGAACTTTCGGCGGTGACAAAAAAGTCGCCGCTGAAAGTCGTCGTCTAAAGTCTGTTTTTTTGTAGTGAATGAGAGAGAAACATAAAAGGAGTCACATTTAAGTATTAATTGTAGGGATAAAACTGACAAATAAACATTATTTACTCTTTAAGTAACTTGTATTTTGAATCAAATCATTCTTCTAGAAGTGACTTATATTACAAATCGAATGGAATAATGTAGGTAACAGTCACTTGTATGTAAGATTGATGAAGGTCATATATTTTAGAGACACGTAACATCAAAATAAACACATGATTTATACACTTGTATGGTGTCTAATGATAGTAGTTTTGTAGAGTATCCCTCGTTCTTTTT